TTATATATATATATATATATATATATATATATATAGGTATTGATTAAATTATTTTAGTGAAAGTTAATAATAAAATAGATAATTAATGAAGTTAGGATAATTGGATAACAAAGGTTTAAAAGTTTTTAATTTATATACATTCATTATAAGTGAATTAATAAGAGATTATGAGATATATTTTTCATAGCAAAATTTTAGACTGAACAAGTATTTTTTAAAATAAAGATTAGTTTACTCTACTTAATCAACATAATTACAATTACTAATATATATACATATGTTTATTTTATGCATCAAATTAAAGAAGTTGATGTCTAAGGCAAATCAAAGAATAAATTATTAAACATCAAAGTCGGTGCTCAGATTTTTAGTCTATGATATTATTTTTTTTTTCTTTTTAACCATTTTGCATTAGTAGTTACAGATACTTGCACAAGTTTTATTTTGATTTTTATGCTTTATTTATTTATTATTCATTGGGAAAGAAATATGTTTTTAACAATATATATCATTGTATATTATTTTTGAAAAATATATAAGGTGCATTTAAGTGAATGAGATAAACATATGAATGATATGGACTACATAGTATATTCGCATATGTGTGTTAACTATGATAGAATTTACCCCCTTACGATACCAGCAAAATACTAAGGTACTTGTAGTTCCTTAGTCAACATGCACATACAAGCATAAAATCTTGCATAATCAACAAGTGATGATATAAATGAGGAAAATTTCAAGTTGCGGCTAGTTATCATAAGGGGATAAACTCCATCATAGTCAATATGCACATGCAAGAATATGATATAGTTCATATCATTGATATGTTTATCTCATTCAATTCAATGCGCCTTATATGTATTTAAAGAATATGCAAAAGCAGATATTGTTAAAAACATATTTCTTTCACAATAATGTGACCAACAAATAAAAAATATTAATCAGAATAAAGTTTGTGCAAGTATTAGTAACTACTAATACAAAATATTTGAAAATAATAAAACATTACAATCGATTAAAAATATAGGCTCTCACCTCGATGTCGATTTATTTATTTTTTGATTTCCCTTAGAGCTAGACTCCTCTAATTTGATGCCTAAAATAAGTGTATGTATATCTATTAGTATTTATAACTATGTTAATTAATTATGTGAGCTCCAAAAGTTTGAAAAGCAACCCAGACTCTCGTATAGAGCTTAGTGATGTTAAGGTTTCGGGTTAAATTTTCGAAAGACAGATGAGATAGTAAATACGACACTACCCAAAGATTTTGCTCTTATTTTGTGAATACTTTAAGATTTGAAGTTTTAGGTTTCCCGTAGCCATAATCACCCATGGTTAATTACTCCCCCCGATAACAGAAGAACACTTTCGATTAAGGCTAATCACTAGGTTCTAAGTATTCAAACTTAGCATATAGTAACAACAAATTTTATATGATAAAATTATAAAAGCTTATCACAGTGAACTCAAAGGAGATGGTGGGGGAAGCGACGACAAACCCGATTAAGATCTCTTGCTTCTGTCATCCTGAATTGTCACGAGCACTATTGTACTTAGTCAGTAGAGATAGACGACCCAATCTAACTGAAGAATCCTTGTCAGCAACCATGAGTTGCTTTGTACAAGAGAATTTTGTAGACCCAGGGTGAATGTTTGTCTAAAGAGACTTATCTAAGTCGAACATTTCTTACAGAGAGTTTGATATCTTATGATTTAATACACAATATGACAGTCTGTCATTGAGGAACATGTGGGCTACAGCTGTGATCGTAATATAGTAGTATCATTTGGTGGCAAGTCATCCGGTCAGAGAGCTTTGGCCATAACTATTTCTTTGTTGTATCATTTGATGGCAAAACCAGAACAAAGGGCCCCGACACATTCTTACTGACATTTCGTACGTGCTCATGCGGTCTATTTTGCCATCGTAGGTCGTTTTGGTTACTTTGTCTACAATTGAGGTGATTCAAATTTGATTCTTCGTGGTTTCTCCATTCTATCTTGAATGTTTGCTTTTTAGGCGACTTCGATGCTTTGAACATGTTATAGTATTTATTGTTTGCCCATCTGTCTTATGTCCGATCAATTATTCTTGCGAAATATATATGAGGGTCAACTAATTAGAGTAAACTAGTCTTTATTTAATAAAACACTTATTCAATTTGAAATTTTATTATTAAAAATATATATTATAATCTTTTATTAATTATCACTTACAATGAATGTATATAAACTTGTAAATATTTAAATTTTTGTTATTTAATTATCACAACTTGACTAATAATCTATTTTATTGTTTATATTTTCTTTTTGTTTTATTAAAGCAATTTACTTTCATAATCAAACTTTTTTTTTTAATTTCTAAACTATTCATCAATATCTAAATTATAAATCTTTAAAAATATCTAAAATGCATACTATACATAATAACATAAAATTTAATAAATTACCCCTTGCCCACATGTAACCCAACTCCCATGATCACTATTCTTGTTTCACCCTTCCCTCATTTTCCAGAATCCGAAATCTCAACTACTTGATCTTGTCTCGCTCATGGACACAAGTGCTCGACCTTAACTTGTTGTCGCCTTTGCTAGATTGTCTGACATCCTCACCCTTGTCCTCACAAATTGTCCCGGACGCTCATCAATTCTCTTCACACACCAAGAGTGACACACTTCCTCCCCTTTATGTCAACGCGTGCTTCTTCCCCTCTGCTTTGACACAATGTGTTGTGATGTTTTGTTGTCTCCCTCAAGCACACTTGCGTTCGGAACCAGGATCGTAGTTGCCCTCGTCTTCATTATCACATGTATGGGAAAGCCTTTTTTCGATCGCCTTGCCTCCTCTTGCAAGAACTCGATTGGCTTCACAAACGTGCTTGAAGTCTTCGTCCACTCTCCTACACTAGCTAGAGTTGCCGAACAAAACCCTTGAGCATTTGAATCGAGCCACAAGTGTAAATTGCTTGTACTTTCTTTTCCAAATTCTTTTGGTCTCATCTTAAATGTTGTAAGAGCCCTCTCCTGCTCGATACAGTTCTCTTCTGTTAGATATGACTCTCTCCTACTCAATAAGACTCCTCTGATGTAAAGGAGGCTTTAAGAAGAGAAATAATATCGAGAATTGCAATCCCCCCACTTACAAAAAATTTTACTTTAAAATTTATAAATCTTCTACAAGCCTCTTCTTATTAAGCGGGTAAAACATGAATTATCTATAAATTTCATGAAGAAGTCTAGAGCTTATTTATTAAGATGAAAGTGTACATTGGAAAACAAAGATATGTTACAAGATTAGTCAACTAACACCCCCTGTCATTTGTAATAGGATAATATAACAAGGATAACATCACATCTAAACTAAAGTATCATAACTAAAATAACACACACCTACTCTAACAGAAGTACACAAACATCCTTATCATGTGCAAGAAAACATAACACTAATCAGCACATATTATGATCAACATCAACTGCGGTAGGTTCTTCAGGGTCACTATGTGTAAGGGCATAAACTCGAAGTTGTCTTGGTTGATCTTGAGTAGGAGTTGAAGTTGTTGACTCCATCGCGTGTCAATATGCATTCTTCTGTGAATGATCTCCACTTGGTTTATGTTCTTCAGAGGTCTTTTGGCCAAGTGAAAGGCAATATCTAGTTTTGTGACCAGACTGACGACGCTAGTAGCATATGTTGGAGCCCATCAAACATTCACCCTTATGATGTAACATTTAATAATTATAAGAAAATATGTTTATGAGTCATGCAATGAAATCATGAGAGTAATAAAACATGCACTTTCAAATTATATTATTATTGAGGCATTAATTTGAAAGATTTATTATACTCATTAGTTTTTTTGCCGTGGAAGATTCATTATATTCATCATACTCTAGCTCTCTGTATGAGCCCGACAAATACCTTCAGAATTTTAGGATCACTCTTTCCCCGCTCTTTCCCAGAAGTTCCAATAATTTACCTCCCGCATTATCTCGTTCTCCTGACATTTTAAACCACAAGAATCCAAATCTAGATCTTCTTCCTTTATGTGATTCACTTTGTCTTAGCCCACAAAGTTGCAACTCCTCTGTCCCGCACAAAAAACCACAATCACTTGGAACCTTCGCCTCCCTGCCATCGAGTGCAACTCTAGAAACAAAGTGCTACTTCGCTGTCTTCCTCAATCCCAAGTCGGACGCAATACTGCAACAGCCATACATCCATGTGTCGCGATCCAACACGCCAAAGCCGAAACCTCTATTAACTCTAATTGAGGCTGATTTGCGAGGACCAAGAGGAAAAACTTTGGGTCTCTTCACACCGATCTGGTTCTGTGTACGCTGATCCTAACTGGATCGAGGGATTTACCAGTACTTCGCAAGGAACACGATCGAAGGAAGAGGAAAATAGGAATTTCACATTTATTTGTGTTGTTCCCTACTGGTTCAATCGAGGAGAGTGATGGCCCAAAACTTACCGCGAAGTAAGTCAATCAGTCAATGATACAAGTATACATGTCAAATTATAATGCAATTAATGAGTACCTTGTATCGATCCCATAAGGAAAGAGCTAAGAAATATTCTGAATGAAAAATTTTTAGTTTACTAAACATCTAAACCTAGTTCAGTGTGATCAAAGACAAGAGATGGAGTTTCTAAAATCTTACTCAAAAATAGAAAAAAATTAACTAGGTTAAAAAATAAAGGAAAACAATAAGCAAATAACCTTTACAATTCTTCGAAAGTGATGAGACTTGTTTCTCTGTGATTTAGGAATTATGGTGCTTTGTGGTATTCCTAATCTTTCCCCTACATGATAGTTTTCAACGGGGATAAAAAGTTCCTATATCTAGGCTTAGGTAAAAAAAAAAAGACTAAAGTTCATGAAGTTTCATTAATCCCCATGACATTCCGTAGGATTATTCCAATCCCCTTTTTAATTTGCAAAATCCTGATAGAATATGCCCATTTTTACCTGGATTTTGTGGTTAACCATTTAATTCTTCTACGCAACGGACAGAAGTCGTAGATCACAAAATATTTTAACATTCTAATTGTTCAGATCAGAAGTACATGAAATTCGATGGTTAATACAACATAGACATAAAAGCTCAAAAAAAATTTTACTTGGGAAAACAAATCGAGAAAACATAAACTACAATTCTTTCATCATACAGATGCGAGAAAAAACTTAGCCACTCATGCTAGAAAGAACGATGAAAATCAAATCCATAGAAACCATTACTGCAAGGAAGAACATAAAAATAATTTGTTTCTTCTTTTAGAGCAGCAGATCTTTCTCTCTCTCTTACAATCTCCTATCAAAGTAAATATCAAAGTAAATAAGAAATACGGAAGAACAATGGAAACGATATAGCCCTTAGAACCTCAACCTCAATCAAAGAAGACTCCAATCCCTCAAACTTTGTCTCCAGCCGTTTCTAATGGTTCAAGCCTCCTCCAAAGATGTCCAAGACCTCTTTTTATAACCAAATTCTCATATTTGGCAAGAAATTTCTTTCTTAAAATATTTCCCGCTTCGATGGCATGATCACGCTGAAATCCGGCATTGTCACACCCGTGATCTAAATTGGGCGGCATGGTCACCGTGATCCAGTGTGATTACATTGAGCCTTTGAAAGAGCGACGCGGTTGCATTGAGCCATTGAAAGAGCGGCGTGGTCACGCCCCGATTTGAGCATGTTGGTCACGACGCTACAACAATACTATGACTTGGTCACACTTAGTCTATGAGTGGTCATGCCAGTTCTGACGACTTTTTTCTTAGTTTTTCTGATTCTGAAATACACGTACGATCACCTGTAACTTGCATATCACCATGAAAAATCTTTCACACTTGTAAATCCATGATAAGTAAGGTAAAATAACAAGTGAAATGTTGGAATAAAAGTGGGTGCAATCATGTAAAATTGACTCATGTCACAGAAACGGGAGTTTTGGGTCACTATGCACCGATCCCATCTGGTCAACCAAGGAGGAGAGGCAGCTAAGGCTTTGATACCATAAAGAATTAATTGTTTTGAAAAGTTATCCATTTCTTTAATAGCTTGGGCTTATGTAGAGCCTTCGAAGATCTGCAAATAAATCCCTAAACTTTTTTTATTTACAAATAGGACCCTACAGTAGATACAAATCTCAACACTAATTGAAAGGGTTGAAACATTTATGTCCTAACTTATTTTATGTTAAACAAATTGAATGAATGAGTCATACTTTTAAACGTTATTGCAAATTTAAATAGGTTATAAAATTATTTATCATAGTATTTAAGGACTACTAATCAAGTTATAATATTTACGAAAAAATGATCCCTCCAATTTACTCAATTCATAGTCAGTTTGACTTTATAATAAAGCTCAGCGTATTCTATTTTGAAAGATTGGGTTCATTTTCCCAAAAAATCGGAGTAAAAGAATTTGCTTAGAACATGAGGTTACATAATTGTAACTTGAATTCTTTTGAAATTTTGCATGCTTTTGTACCATAATATAGGAGCTTTTAGAAAGCTTCAAAGAAGGTATTTGCCCAAAATTAGAGATCTAAGAAAATTGATCAAACACCTGGTTGAAATTTTTTTTTATAAAAAGTGGATTCAAATTTTAATCAAATTCTTAGCATATAGTTTGGCCCTAGATTCTATAAGTGCTTTGAAGGAGTCCAAACATTGAATTTTGTTGAGCCTAGAGGGATATTTAAAATGTGGCTTTTGGACAAAACTTTAGAATTCATTTATTTAGATATAGCATAATCATCCCATAAGGCTTATCATAACTATTTGTGCTCAGCATTCATTTAAATATATCATATTTTGCAAATTGGAAATTGCTTTTAGGATGCCTTTTCTTTTTTATGAAAATAGGAAAAATGAAAACATTAGTTTTATTCTTAATCAACATAGTAGGAAGATGAACATATATGATCAAATTAAACAAAGCCATTATTGATTAATCTTTATAGGTGGTGAGATGACATTAAATTGATATCAAAATCTGGTAAACTTTACCAAAATGAACTATAGGCAGCTACTATGTTAATTATGCTCTATGCAGGACATTATTGGAAGAATTGTGTGTGTTCCTCTGAGACGGGCCAATGATATCATTGGGGCCACCACAGAAGAACTAGTGATGAAAGCAAGAAAAACTTCTGCGGCTTGAGCTGAAGTTGCCAGGTTTTATTTTTCTTCCCTTTTATGCTTCTCCTATGCTTATACAACCAAAATGATATATTTTCAGGTTTTCGGTTAACTGTGTCAGGCTTATGAATTTGATGCATAGGTCCTCCAGAATGGCTTTAGCTTTTCTTTTCTTTCCTAAATTCTTTCATTAAATGCCTTGTAATAATACATTATTTCCTTTTCTATGTCTCTTGTGCTCTTCACATTCTTTTATTTACTGTTTTAAATGAGCTTTCATGTATAGTCTATAATGATGTCACCTTGCTACTGTCATAAATAAAACACAAATTAAAATTATACTTTTAGCACGTAAAATTTAGTTTATTTTCAATCAAAACACTAATAAAATAAAATAAAATAAATAATCAATAAGAAATAATAGTGATTTGAAATGGGCACCAAGAAACAAATCCATGCATTTCTAAAAGCAAAAGGATATGACTAATTGGTAGTGAACATTGAAAAGATTTAATTAGTTGTAATATGGTTTCCTAATCAAGAGTATGAACAGGAGAATAAGTAGCATAATCAAAAGGTTTCGACTAAAATTGAATTGAATTGCATCAAAAAAGATTAATCAGTCTAAGAAAGATTTGCGTTAAGAAAATATGATAGATAAAATATTACTACAATATATATATATATATATATATATATAATCTCTCTATATATATATATGATTGATATTTTCAATCAAAGTACTATGATTACGTTTAAAAGAAAGCCTAGTTAAGAGTATATAACTAAGTTAAAGATTGTGTCAATGTATCAATAATAGTGATGTATGTAGATGTTATAAATAAGGTGGACCAAAATGACCTTTAAATTTCTCCTTAGGTGTTATTACATTCAATGTTATTTGGATCTAGAGAGATCTGGAATGTTGGGGCGGAACTAGGTTTTGCCTAGGGTGAGTAATTTACTCCATAGAATTTATAGTTTTTTTTTATATAAATAGTAAATTTTATATTTTTTTTTCTTATGTATTAAAAGCAATTTAGTAATTTAGCTTCATCTTGATATATTTATTTTGCCCAACACCTTAAGAAAAATGGACATTTGGTGATTTTGCCCACCTTAAGAAATAATCTTGGTTTCACCCTTGCTGTGATGAATTATCTTGTAGGTGCTATGTAAGCTAATTAAGCAGTATGGTTGTGGATTTTTTTTTTCAAGGGTATCCACCATAAATTTTGAATGATTTTATTAAATGATCAAAAAAGTCATTTGAAAAATGCCACCTTAGAGGAAGGAAATATTATCTTGAACTAGACCTAATAATTATGATAATAAAAATTTTTAAGATTTATGGGTCTACGTGAAAAGGGAATTTTTCCTATCTTACGAGTGTAAGATAAAGTTTATTTTATTCTGAGGTCTGATATCTGTACAAAGGCTATGAACTCTAGAGAAAACTCTCAATTAAAGTATTGACTTATATTATTTAGATTGCAAGGTCGGGCTTTTCAAAGTTAGAGTTTTAAAAGGTGATGAATGGATCTAAGTTTAGAATTTTGGAAAGATTGTGTTCAAATAATGAGACTGATAGTTCAATGACAGTGCATTATAGAAAAGCCTAGAAAAATGGATTTGACTATTCTAGGGATGGAGGCCCGATCCACATGTGATGTGTGAACAAAGAAAGTTGTGTACCATAGTCAATAGCTAAGTATGGATAGAGGGAATGGAATACATATGGTGAGCTACAATAATGGTTAAAGAACCTAACATAGCCAGGTTTAGAGATAATTGAGCATGCCATGACGTTGTTAAAACTTCATAGAGACCTTTAGGGCCCTGGCCCATAAATGGACCTTTATGAGCCTCTAAAATGTCTTTCAGGCCATGACCAATTGCTAAATGATGATGTGCAATATCACTCAACCAAAGACCCCTTGTTATTGGATCTAATCCTCGACGAAAACTCAGAAATTCCGCATAGTTTTCCCAATTCAAGTCATATGTAGGGTTTCCTAGAAGATTCAAAATGAATGATTATTGAGGGGTTTTAAATTAATTAAGGTCATTATAAAATCAAAGGATTTGAGATGGGTTGGATGTGTTTCATTTGAAAGGTTGTTGTGAAGGGCTAGGTTTGAAAGATTGATTTTGAAAAGTTTAAAAAGATTCATAAACTAAAGTGAATAAAATTTGGGAATTCTAGATGGATGTAAAACCCTAATTTTGATTTAAGCCTAAGATCTATGAATAATTTAAATAGGTAGACCAACCTAAAATTTGAGAATAACGCCCATGATTAAGATGCTCGTGGTTTTCCATCTTCCCGGATGTATTGGTGTCATTCAACTATTAACCAAACTTATAACCAAAAATCTTCATTTAATGTCATAAAAATGACTTGTGGAGAGTTTCTTTGCTAATGTGGTTAGAGTTGCCTTTGTCTGTAACCATGAGTTACTTCATCCCAGAACACCTACATAGTTTTAGGGGGTAAGACTATTTGTTTTATAGTCATAGTCCTTACCACTAGCTATCGTACCTAGTAGTCTAACCTAGGCTTTTAAACTGGACTAATCAAGGGTATGTGTGATCCTCAGTTTTGTTTCTACGTTGATATTTATAGTTGATCTACCTAGGTGATAGTTTCTGTGATTTAAGTTAGTTTATTTTAGATTTTTATTTGGGGTTTGATATTTAATGGGTAATTTGTTTCAACTCATATGTTTGTTAGTCAATGCGATAATCATGGTTTTCCTTGGTTTAATATTTTGCATTTGGTTTTCTATGTTAGTGTTATTTATTCACTTTTATCCTCAAGTTCACTTAAGGTGAAGTTTCATGTTAAAGTTCATGTGTCATTTGCAAGCTTATGAGACTAACATCTTTTAAAGATTTTTAAATTTTAAATTGGTTTATTTGTTTGAGTTTTATTATAGAATTTTGAAGTGTTTAAGTTTTTTTTATAAATATTATTCAGCTTAAAATTTTTTTTAACTCCTTTTCATTTATTTATTTTTTTGTTTAAGATGTGTTGATATTTAAATGCTTTAATATTTCAAGTAAATTTGTTCAAGTGTTTAGGTTGTTTTGCGTTATTTAGTTATTTTTGCTTAAATATTTAGGTTATCTTACTTAAGTATTTAAGTTCTTATAATTTAATTTAAGTGTTTTCAAATTAAGGGTCTGTTTGGCGCAGCTGTTGATTATTTATAATCTGCTGATAAGCAGATTATTCTGATAATCTAATAATCTACAGATTATCAGAATAAGCTGGCTTGCTATCTGGGGGAGCTTATTTAGAATAACTTTTTGATAGATGTTGTTGGATAAATGATCAGGTTGCCCCTGTTGGGCGAAGCGGGTGGGATAAATGAAGAATTTCTTAGAAATTTATTAAATAACTTAAAATTTTGATATATTTTTATTCATTAATCAAACATTAAGTAATTACATACAAATTTATCTATTATAATTAAATTGATGATATACAAATTAATTATTGATTCTTAAATTAATTATAATTAAAATTTTGATATAATTAATTATAAATTCTTAAAATTATGATATAATTAATTATGATATATAAAGTTATTTTCTCAAAACTCCCCATCTTATGTCACTCCCCCTCCCTGTTTCGTGAATGAATTTTCACATGCAGTCGCCATTAGAGTGAGCTGGGAAGGCAACGACGGGATCGCGGTTTACAGTGACTACCAAAACTACTGTCTCTCTCACTTCCGATCCGCTCCTACCAGAAACTAGAAACTATCGAGCATCGAGGAAGGTAAGTCTGTTTGCGCCATTCAGGAAACCAAAACTTCCTCTTCGCTTGGTGAGAGGGTCACCTCGTGCCCAAGAGACGAAGGAATCAGCTAGGGCGAGGGCGAGGGGGCACCGAAGGAATTTTTCATGCAAACGCGGGAAGCAGACGTAGGATGCTGCTCCTTCCCCGCTTTGCCTTCTATTAAAGAAATCTTGTAAGTGCGTCTAAGCGGTAGCAATAATCTGCGCCGAACGTATTTTTTTCAAACACCTCTATGGTGTTTTCATACTGCCACCGCACCCCAATAAGCTACCCCAAACGGGCCCTAAGATGTTAAGGTTGCTTTTCAAATGTTTTAAATAATTTTTGAAATTAAGATTATTTCAAAATCCTTAAATTATTTTTAAAAAAAATTATTTGACGTTTAAGAGGTTTTAAATGTCTTTTAAAACGCTGTAAAAACTTATTTCTTAAAGTTTTTAAAATTATTTGAAATTGTTTAAAATTGTTTGAAACTATTTTAAATCTTTTCTAAGTATATTTATACATTTTTATTTCTTAAATGTTTTAAAGTTATTTTTAAATGGTTTTATTTTATTTTAAATCATTCACAATTTATTTTAAAACTTTAAATTAATTTTTTAGCATGAAATTGTTTTAAATCATTTATAAATGTTTTAAATTAATTTTAACTTCTTTTTAAATTGTTTTAAAATTATTTTAAAATTATTTTTTAAGATTATTTTAAATTATTTTAAAATTGTTTTAATTTTTTTTTAAATATTTTAATTCTTTTAAATTAATATTTAAATTATTATGTCAAATTATTTTAAATTCTTTTTATATGGTTCGAATTAAAATTTAAAATGTTTTAAAATTGTTTTTAAAATTATTTAAATCATTTTCAAATTATTTCTACATCATTTAAATTATTTTAAAAAATAGTTTTAAATATTTTTAAATTATTTAAATTGTATAAAAGGCTTTTTAAATTAGTTTTAAGTTATCTTTTAAATTGCTTAAATTATTTGAATTAATTTTTAATTAGTTTTAAAATATTTTAAACTTATTTAAACTATTTTAAATTATCTTTAAATTAGTTTTAAATTATTTCTTGAATTGGTTTTAATTTGTTTCAAATTATTTAAATTAATTTTTAAATTACTTTTAAATTTTCTTAAATACTTTTACAATTATTTTTAAATTTTTTGAATTGTTTTTTTAAAATAGTTTTAATTTGTAAAAAAATTCTTTAAAAATTACTTAAATTGTATTAAGAATAGCTTTTCATTGTTTTTAAATTCTTTTTAAATTATTCATAAATTGTTTTAATTGTTTTCAAATTAGTTTTAATTCAAAATTCATTTTTAAATCAATTTTAGATCACTTTTAATTGTTTTAAGTTATTTTAAGATTTTGTAGGTTATGTTAATTTGTTTTAAATTTCTTTTTAAATTGTTTTTATGTTCTTGTTTTAAAGATTGTTTTAGATTATTTTTAAATTATTTTATGTTATATTTAATTTTTTTTAAATT